AACAATTTTTTTGGAGAACTGCTCTTTTAAAATAACGTAGGTTAATGTTAGACTGATCTCCCTACAATAATTTAGGAAATTTTACACTCGGTTTCTTAATTGAGAATTTAAAGTTAAACGTCTCAAACTAAAATCACTTAGTTTTCGTTTCCGATTGTGAAATTAAAAATACTTAGGTTATTGAGAATAAGCAGTAGAAATTTTCTACTTTTTTCTAATCAGAAACCGGCTGTTAGGCGGTAAATCGATTTAAGCATTTTGACTGCCTTGTTTATTGATTGTCTGGTAAAATTTGCATGAAAGCAGTCTTATAAATCACAAACTAGTTTATTTCGTTTTTAGAAATGAAGAAGTCAATGACCGATTAAAAATTTTTCCTTAGTACGTCCCAAAAACAGCTGACTTAGGGTTGAAAACACTCATTCTTTTTCAAAAACTTTGTGATTTAATATCTCCGTAACTATTTGACCTAGACATATAATTTTTTTACATCATATTAAAGACAAATAGCACTCTCCAGGAACCTTGGGAGTGTTGGTCGTTCTGTTCCACCGAGTATAATTTATCAAAATTTACATCTTCTCTACTTAGTTGTTGACTATTATCGTTCAAATGCAAAGTCTCTAAAAATTTTTTGAAGCGTTTTACTGGCATAACTTCAACTATCACATTCACACGAAATCCAGAATCCGATGACCAATATAAATCGATATGTGGGAGAATATGATAACCCATTATAATGAGAATGCCCATAAAAACACTAGTTTCCTGTTTGTTTTTGAAATGCGCTACTGGACGTGCTCTCCTATTCAATAAATACCGAGATTTTATTGTCACCTTATCAAACTCATCGGGATCTGGCCTGAATGTCCAGAAACCCTTCCCCCATGACTCATCTTCACATTCAGATTCATCAGTCAATTCTTGTTCTAAGGGTGATGATGATTGTACTGTCAAAGGCTCTTCTGGCTGCGAGTTATCTAATTGTGAACATAGTGCTATTGTAGATGTACCTGAATCTGAACTATTATTAGGGGTAGAATTCAAATGAGCAGGAGAATTTTGTAAAAGGTTACTTGTATCATCATTTGATTCAAGTAAACGTTGTATTGTATTCACGTTGAAATCCAAATCCAAATCGTCTTCTGAGCCATCATCAGGAATGCCGAAAATCTGCTCCAATGTCTTTTCAATATCATTTTCATTCAAATAGCGCGGCATTTTCCATGAAAATCTGAGAAAAGAAGGAACTAATTCAACAAGTGTATATAACACGCCACGGACAGCGAGAATATTTTCCTCACCAAGTAAAAAGTCCTCTCACATCTAAATACAATAGTAACTTCTAAGGTATAGCAAACAACATGAAGAATAAACATAAATAGATAATAAAAAAACAGATGTTCACAGAGGAACAAATTTTCTTTCAAAATTGGCGCAATATTTTGACAGCTAGTGAAAAAATATGTCACACAAACGTCATTTTTTTTTCTTAATAATAATAAGGCATACCTCCTTAGTTGCCAGTGCAATAAATTAGGACTCCTTTGATAACTCACATAGAAAGATAAGCAAAATTTTTGTTGGTGGTAAATATATCACCTCTGCCCACAGAACATAGAGAAAGAATAGAAGTAGTAAGTGGGCGGGGCACGCGTCGCTGGCATATGCGCTTTTACTCATATGACGCCCTTTCCTCGGTTTTATGTTTGCCAGTCGTTCGTCAATCGTCGAGTGGTGATTTTACAGATTTTTTCTATAAAAAATGCCGTTTTGTGCTATTATCACTTGCAAAAAGCAAAGCAAAGTATACAATCTAACTAATGCAAACATTTCCTTTCACTGGTAAGTACAATTTTAGTGCTAAAATATAAAAAACGTAATAATTTGACACAATGTTAAATAAAATATACATTGATTGCTCAAACCAACATCAATGTTTCTGACCCCATTACTAAACAGCAATGTAAATCATTTTGTGCACTTTTGCAAAAAATAGTGCTGTGCCTCCATTTGTCTGAAATGTACCGATAGGCTGCTGCTGCTCGGAATCGTATTGTTAATTATATGGATCGTAATCGATAACTAAAACATATTTATTTAGAGCTTTTCTTTCATCATTTCATAACAACGTTATCGATAAATATATGCCATAATTATATAAAACTAAAAAATACTGTTTACAAGGGAAAATTATAGATGAACTGATACTGAACAAATGAAATAATGAACTGTCCAGGCACTTTTTTTACGAAGATTCGGTTAATTATTTACACGCAGATAAATATTAAAAATTACTGATGTGCTATAAATATCTAAGTTACGAAGTATATCACCGTTTTATGAACAATACATAAATTAAACGAAACTTCGTGAAAAGCTAAGAGTTGGCCTAATAGGTCTTGTTAGAAACTGGTGAAACTGGATTTCACTTATTTTGCATTACTTATATTTCAGTTTCCCTAATAACTTTACAACGGATTGCCTTGTTTACATAATTAATTTTGCCCTATCTGTTTTAGACCTAAACCTATCAAATGAATTTCAAAACAACATAATATCTATACAAACAAAAAATTATGTTTTCAACTAACGTAATATTGTTGGTGGTGTGAATTTAATTTACAAAATTAATTTTTAGGCGTCAATTTAATTTACCTTATTATGCTGATTCATAATCGGAAACTATTATTATAGAAATCGAGTTAAGAAAGCCACTTTAAAGAACCGCCCACAGAACAGCTTTTATCAGTTTTTTTGTTGCTCCATATTTGCACATAAGTTTATAGACGCATGTCTCAAACGGATGTGACTTTATATGTAGATTGACGTTTGTACGTACTTATCGCTTTTGTGTCTATCTTCAAACTTTTTTTGTCACGGCTTTCAAACTCATACTTGACCAGCAATTCCTTATTGTCCAGTCGTTGCAATTAATAATGTAGCTACTACTATTATTACAGATATAAAACTTAGAATAATAAAGTAAAACAAACATGGCTATGATCAATTTATTAGTGTAATGATCATATTAGTTATTATGAAATGAAATGAAAATATCTTTATTCAAGAAGGCTATTACAAGCACTTGGAATGGCAAGTTTATTTTTATTTCTACTTTTTTTTGTGAAGGAATCGTAATGTTTTCTTGCGTACATAATATTTTCATTGATGTATTGAGAGGCAACAGTCAAAATATTTATTTCTTTAAATATTTCTCTGAGAGATTCTCTAGACCGTAAATTATATATAGCGTGGACAGCTCTCTTTTGTAGAATAAAAATATTTTGAATGCTAGCCGCAGAACCCCATAACAATAGATTATACGTCATTCATTACACTATGAAAATAACTAAAATATACCAATCTTGCCGTTCCAACATTTGTTAAGAGTCTAATTTTCTTAACAGCAAATGCTGCAGAACTCAGTCTACTTGACAAATTATCAATATACCAAAATACCAAGGAACTTTGTCGATTCCACCATCTCAACTTTTTCACTATTTACATTTATAAGTATATTAACATGCCTCACATTAGGTAATGCAAACTTTATGTATTTCGTTTTATTTGAATAAGGCTTTAAATAATTACTATCAAACCACTGTAGAAAATTGTCGAACTGAATTACATTGAACTGTTTCATAACCAAATTTAAAGCTCTTATTTTATCAACTAATATGTCACATCACTAATATGCACAATCGGAATGATACCAGTAAGAAAAAAATACAAATTAGGCTTAATGTAATTAATACAAAAATTCTGTTGTTTTCTTAATTTTTGTTATTTTTTACACTTTCCCTCGCTTAATTATATTACTCCACAGACATACGATAGAGTGTATCATTAAGTTTTCTTAGTTTTTGTACTGCGTTTTTTAAAAGATATTTTAATAAATTATGTAGGGAAAAGCCTTAATTATTCAGTATTCACTTGGTTACAGCAAAATCTAATATTAATAGTTCGCACATAAAATGATGACCCCAATTTTTTTAAATGTGCATAATCTTAAAATATTTTTTTCCTTCTGGTATCCCCATATACAGCCACGTGACAGTTCAACATTCATGTTAAAGTAAATTATTTATTATCACGTTGAATTAGAGTTTGTTTTTAATCGTGTGATTTCTTAGCTTAGTATCTTTTTGGGATTTGATTTATGTTATCGCGAACCTATCGCGTGGCGGTTTTTCATGTAGTGAACAAAATGATCATTTCATCTAATCTGTATTTGTGTGCGGAGAGGCGACACTCGGTTCCCATACTAAATTAATATCATTATACTTCTAATCTCTCTCTATGTTCTGTGCCTCTGCCTTAAAAAGGGGCAACATTTAAATTTAATAGGGAATTTTGCAACAATTATTTTAAAATTATTTATTTGGTTTTAGTAAAAATTAAAAATATAGTCCCAAATATTTATTTTCCTATAGTTTTCTGAAACAAAAAATCAAATTTGGAAAACATACAATTCTGTTTTGTTTTTCACTTTGAGACTTATTGATGTAACATAAAAAAATACTTGCCAAGTGCGAGTCGGACTCGTGCACGTAGGGTTCCGTACTGGAAACGAGCAAAAAAACGCGGTTTTTGTATATGGGCCCCCTTCAATATTTATTTTATTCTGGTTTTTAGTATTTGTTGTTGAAGAAATACATCATCTGTGAAAATTTCAACTGTCTAACTTCCACGGTTCATGAGAAACAGCCTGATGATAGGCAGACAGACTTAATAATAACGGGCACCCCCGTTTTACCCTTTGGGTACGGAACCTTAAAAATAATTCAGTAATATTTATGTTAAACATACATTATCATTGGCAAATTGCCATCAATAATTCAAGGCAGTTATTATTATTTTATAATTGCAATTATTAATAATAAAATTTATATATATAAAAAAACAAGCTAATTATTGAGAACAAAAAACAAAATATTGAAAAAATGTATATTGTAAACTTTTTAGAATTATGTATTTATTAGATATTTTCTTTGAAGAGGGGGCGGATTTGACCGTGGACGACGAGATGGCGGTCGCGATGGGCGTGATGGTCGAGAAGGTGGCCGCGGGGGTGGTGGCGGCGGTGGTTTCAGGCGGGACGGCGGCGGCCGCGGTACGTACGACCACTTCGATGCCGCCGAACGCCGCGCGCCTCGCCACCAAGCTGGCGGTGGAGGGTTCACACATGGTAACATTACTAACCCATTAATCGGTTAACGTTTGTGTAACTGTCAATTGTATTACTGCATAGATGTGACAGATTTTAGTGAAATTAGAGTCTCCCTAATGCATATAATATAAAGTGGAGTGCTACTATTTCTATGTACATGCTTAAATTTTAATATAATTTATATTTTATATTGAGGGTAACGAAATAAGCGGAAAGTCAGTCTGTCACTAAAGATTAAATGTTGTGTTGTTTACTCTGTATTTTAAAGTTTAAATGTCCTTTTAGACCTATAAATAGGACATGTTTTGATGACGATAGGAGGATGGGATCTCTCTTCCTTAAAAAAGAATGGGAAATCTTTTCTACAGCAGTTACACAAAAGTTAACTAGCATGAAACTGATCAAACTATGAACAAACTTCAAAAAATCTTAAACTTTACAATTCTTTAGGTACAAACTAAACTGATTATCATTATAATCCTGTCAATCTTGTGTCAATACTTTAAACAATTAAGAAAACAGAAGAGAACTTATTTTGAAAAAGCATACCTACATAACTTTGTGTAGTATAACAGAATTGCCGCCATTATTTTATGGGAAAGTTGTGTAACATCTTGTAGGTCTAATTAGTTTAAAAGTATTATCATTTTTGTCGGCTCACCTGTATTATCCTCCAAAATTTCAAACTATTTACTTCTAAAGTTGACTAAATACGTTGAGTAAACAAATTTAAATTTTAATGACTTGCATAGATTGATCATTTTCATTGACGTCATATACATCATTATCATGGTTGTGTGAGATCATTTAACATTTTAGCTTATTTTGTGTGTTTGAGCATGTAGTCTGAGGCTAAACTATTTGAATATGATAATATTAGTCATTTCATGAAACACTTGATCTTTATGAAGTTATAAACTGATTAAAAATACAGACAAGAAGGTTTTATTCTTATATTTTAACAAAGGACCTGTTTCTCATAACAAATATGTCGTCTAATCCATGCACTATTAGTAGTTAATATTGGCTTACTAATATTCATACAACATTGCTTGCCCTCTAAAATTATTTTCACAGGTTTTAGCTATAAACAAGAAGGTAGAATATGAATCAATTATGTATGCTATGAACATCATCATTAGATCATGTACAAACATAAAAATAATAGGGAATATCCAATTTTCCAAATATTAATGTAAAAAAAAAACCCGACGTTGACAAATTTTCTTGGTAAATTAAATAATAACTACGCGTACTTTAAACGACGAAAATTTTGATGCTACAGTAATGATGTCAAGAGATTTGACATTTGAAATCGAAATGCGATTGATTATATTCAATTACTTAACATCAAATAAGAAGTAATTGTTTTTTTTAATATAATTGACTTTTTTGTAATCAATTTAATAAAATATTTACATAGACAGTATTTTAAAGCAATACTGTTTGTAATATATTTAACCTTTAACCATTTTTCTACGAGAAGCCAAATTATATCAGATATCCAAAACTGACGCCTTGTATTCTTCAGTTTAGGCTGGGAGAGTTCGAGAGTTTAATAGTTGTTTTAATTAATTGCCTAAGTAATTCCGGTTTACCTTCGCAGGCGGCAGATTCGTTTGCCCAGGTATGCCTCACATTCTGCAAGGTCCTACAGAAAGCCTCTCTGTCCGTAACCTCAATATGTCTGGGTATTTTTCTGAAATATGCAGTTTCAGGCCGCAGATCAACACTGATGATCGAACAAACAATTGCCCCCGGCAAAGTGTCTGCAACGTGCGTGCTCGCGTGTGCGTGTGTGCGCGCTCACGCGTGTGCGCTCGTGTGCATGTGTGCGTGTGTGTGTGTGTTTCTAGACAAGAAGTAGCTAATTTTCATTGTACAGTACCTGAAACATTATACTTTTAACATTTTTAATTTCAAAATACATTATGATCAGGGAAATTTTGTTAAATGGTCAGGGAAAGTAAGAGAAAAGTCAAGGATTTTTTTGACATTTAGAGTGGACAGGACATCCTTAGCCGTAGCGGTGTACAACAAAACGCAGTTCTTCCCGGAAACGTTACTGAGTTGTATGGATAGCGATATGTATTAGGTTACGACGCTCACCTAATACTTTGGATATTTGTCTGTTTTGTCGCCTGCCCTAGGAATAGATAAGTATCTCATATGCATACCGTAAAATATAAAGTCTCAAAATTTCTATCCTATGATTTTTTATTTGTATTTCGCGATATTGATATATAAATCAACGATAATTAACAACTTATATGTATTTATGTTCATGCTTATCACATTAACATTTCATTCTATTACTATTCATTTTAGGCGAAATTACTTTTTTAAATACGATGGAAACTCGAGTGTGTGAATTGAATCCTAATCAAGAACAAACGCCAAATTTGTGTATTGATATTTGCAGCGCGTGTTACCACCGTAAAATGAATCGCCAATGCGGACGTTTGTGCTAGATATGAATTTGATTCACATTTCTCTGCTACGGGTGAAAGTGGATCAAAAGTAAGCAACTTGAAATAATACTTTTATAAGGGATAACAAATGATTTAGTTTTATACTTGCGATCCGTCTTGTTTTTGGAACGGGTGCAATAAATAAGTGACGGCAGTCGCGTCGCACGTTGCATCGGCACTGCATTGATCTGGGCTTTTACAAATAAACATGTTACGATGACGGTACGTTGTAACACGGCACGGCACCGGGAAGTGTAAATCCAAGTTGCACCTCTGCCACAGCCGCATTTGTTATTCAATATTCAAAGGTGATGGACGACATTGAAGTCGATCACTTAGTAGACGTTGTAAACGTCAGGAGCGTCGTGTGCTTAGAGTATTAAACCAACAAGTGTTGCAACCGGCAGGCGTACCCTTCTGTAAAAGGTATATGTTCAAAGGACATGTTAATTTTATAAAATTTTTCTTCCCCACCTCACGCGCCATTCACGTATTGCAACGCGCGTGGAAAGAACTCCGACAAAAATGTCTACTTGTATTTTATTATAAAAAGAGTTCATGATCATTCAGGACGAAAAAGGATAATGTTACTTTCCACCTATAAGTATGTTTTTCGTTCAATTGTATAGTATAATTATTCGGAAAAAAATTATTAATTACTGTGTTGATCTTTAAGTGTTGCTATTATATTTCACAAAAATTATTGTGGGATTTTGAACTTATTTTTTTTAAACTAATTTAAATTTGGACTTAGTAGAAGCGTTATAACTATATTCTTAACTCTATAACATTAGAATAGAATAGAACATATACGAATATGTGTGCAACTGAAGAATGCAATACAAAACTAATACAGACAAAGAAGCAGAATGTAAGAAAACAATTATTAATTGACTACAGGAACTGGGGGCCAATTCTACTAAATAAATTTTGTTTAAATTTAATCGAAAACAGATCGAAACCGAACGAAACTACAGTTTTTAATGGTTTTCCTATTCTACAAAGTGACATACGATACAAATCCAGTTCTATTTTAGCTGGAAATGTATCGTATCACAAATTTTTTTTTTAGTAGAATTGGCTCCCTGGACTATTATGACACTTGAGTCCTTATTAACTGTCACACTTTGATGCTGGAGTTAGACACTCTACAGTTTATGTTATGTTTTTAATTTCCTGTCAGTGATCCCAAGATTGAGATACATCGTAGGGCTAGCACCAGTATTTTATCAAAACTTTTAATTTGTTTTTGCGTGAAGATGACAACAGACAACCAAACGTACTCGTATGACTACCTATTTACTATGTTTGTTTGTGCGGGTATTTGTGTGCGTGTGTCTATGTCTGTATTGATTCATATACAACTTTATAGTGTAATGTCGTACGGAATCCTATTGTGGGGAAATGCTTCCGACATACAAACAATTTTTGTGCTTCAGAAAAGAGCAATTCGATCAATATAATCTTAGGATTAGGGACTCTTTAAGGGAGAAATTTAAGGAAATATACATTATGACTGTTGCTTCTCAATACATATACGAGAACTTAATGTACGTTCGTAAAAATATTAGTACACAATTTTAATACAAGAAATAAAAATAAATTAACGGGCCTGTCACTACTAGACTGCAAAAGTTAATAACTCATTCAAGGGTCTTTGTGTGCGCTTCTACAATAAGGTCTCAAGCAAAATATAACAATTAGATATCATGCAGTTTAAATCTACTATTAAAAAATAATTATTAAAAAAGCTTTTTATAAGGTATCCGATTATATAACAGATAAGAACGCTTGGACTTGAGATGATCCAGCAACTGGATAGGTTACTTCTAGATTACTTCTAAACTCATTATCTTGTTTCCATTAATATTAAATGATTATGTTATCATTATTAGACCATAGTTTTTTTTTTCTATCTCTGTTTATAATGTATTGATCTGGTAATGACATGTTTTTTGTAAAGGTAAAGGTAAAGGTCTTATTAGAGCTGGTGAGTTTCTTACTCGTTCTTCTTATCAGCCAAAAGACGTCCTGAACGAGTGGTAGGGAAAAAAAATGTTGGACGATTCAAAAGTACTTTAAAGAAGTCTATTTGAATAAAGATTACTTTGACTTTGACAACATAAATGGTACTCAAATGAATAAAGCACATTACATTAATTGGCAGGATTGATTGGAGAATCACTGATTTTGACTGAATGAAATTTTCAACAACTACTTTTTTAAAATTGTGTACCTATTAAATGTACATTTATATTCCGGATGTTGGAGACCTGGTGACCTGTAAAACGGGTTTTACACTCAAGTGCAGGCACCAGTCTCCACGATTAATTCTGTTGTCCCTGATACATTCTATGCATTTGTACATTTTTTGGTATTGTGGAGAAAAATAAAAAAATATTATTATTATCTATAAATTTATCGATATCAATAAGTCCCTCACATACTCAGATAGATAGCGACGTAAAACATCTAGAAGTTCAATTGTGTGCTTGTAGTTTATGAAAGTGTGTGACAATTACGGCGTATGCGTCAATAGCGACATGCTGTAAAAATGCATTAATATATATATATATTAATGCATAGTGTGCAATATTTCTTAGATGGCAGACTATTTTGTGTTCAAAAAAGTGCAGGTTGCTTCTCTTGTTGGTATAATACTCTAAGGTCCTGTACTTTGGCATAACATTTGATTTAAATATATGATCGCAGATCGCGAACGGGGAGGGGGCGGTGGTGGCGGTGGCGGCGAGCGATGGGCGGAGGGCGGTCGCGGGTCCCGCGGCGGGTCCGAGGAGCCCCGCGCCGGGGACTGGGGACGGCGCGCTGGACCCGCGCCGGCTCCGCAGCGACCACCCAGACGCAACTTTGACGATATGCCGCCCTCGCGTCCAGGTTAACTATATTCCTTCTTCTTCAGCCCTTTCTGCCGCTTGGGTGTTGACCTCCTTCAGTTTCTACCATCCTTTTCCGACTAACCATCCATCGGTTTATATCAGCGATATTAAAATGGCTGCAAAGAAATGGTAAATTTTTTGTTATTAAGTTTAAAGTTGATAGTAACCTGATGTTCTGTTCTTATGACTAGTTTAATGATGACTTATAATTACAAAATATGTTTAATCATCATCATAATCGGTAATGGAATCGAATCGAATAGGGAGAACGGGGCAGTAACCGACCACGCGGGTCCAATACGGTTTGGTGGGTGTTAACGACTGCAGATACAGCCGGGACTAACGGTTTACTGTGCCTTCCGAAGCATGGAGCTCGAGATAAAAAAATCTTAGTCATCCATCCTATGACCGACTTTAAGTTTCTTAACTTCCGAATCGCAGACCGAACGCTCTAACCACTTTGCCATTGAGCTCAATGTATTTAATGATGGCTAAATAATCCATTGCAAGTGTAACGTAAATAGGTCGTAATATGATTCCGTTTTATTTACATATAGTAGTGGAAGGAAAACTATATCTTAATAAAAAGGGCATTCCGCTTTAATTTTCACGATCTATCTTCACTATCTAGGATGGGTTTATAGTTAAATAACCTGAGTTTAACGTTCATGTTAGTTATATTTGATCACAGATACCACAGGTAGACCAAAGCTGAAGCTGGAGCCTCGGACGGTAAAAGAGCCGGTCAACTCACTGGCGTCGACCAGTCAGGCCTCCTCCATATTCGGCGGTGCACGGCCACGGGAAGAGAGGCTCAAAGAACTCGCTGGCGAATAAAAGCCTCCTTCGATCCTTGTGTACATGTCTCAATGCCCAACTGATCCCTATGTGTGTCCCGGTATTTAATTATATGTGAACACTAAAATTGTATATGAACCTGAAGGATTTTGTTAGGTTATGAGGTTGTAAATCATTTTTATCATATATTTTGTTAGCATTATTGTGTCTACGAGCTTATTATTGTTTTTGCGAGGCGACCGTTGCTCGTTATGTGAGCGGCGGCCGCCCGCGACGCTTCAGTATCGCAGTATTTAAATTGCTAGTTTGTTTATTGTCTCTTGAAATTCTGCCAATGTTTTGTGTGTTCGATATCTCGGCTTGCATAATACTTTAAATGGATTCATTGATCATTTCGTTTTTAATATCTGCGTATACATAAGTCTCGTGTATAACGTAACGATTACAGTTTATTTTTATTGTCTATAGCGATTTAGAGCTTCGTAACTGATTGTCTGTTGTAATTGTTTATAATTATTTGATTGTTTAGTTTTATAGGTCGTGAAAATTAATCATTGATTGAGTAATTATGATACATAATTTAAGAGTTGATAATATGGTGATGTAATTATGGTGTCATTAATAAAATTAACTTCCACGTACTTGGATTTCTACTTTATTAGATATTGTGTAATGTAATAAATAAGTTACGTGGCAAGAAATATAAAAAAAATCGCAAAATTGTAACAGAACATAGCAAAAAAATAAATAAAAAGTGAACTCTTTATAATTTATGGGTTTATTTAGACCCCACTCCGTAATCATTTATCCTACACTTCCTGGTCTTATTCATGCACAACTGATTAATGATAACATTTTTAGCATTTGCAAATAAATAACACTACTTCAAAAACAGTGTTACAGGGGCAAACATAAAGGCAATAGTGAAGTAGGTGTAGTAGCCAGTGCCAAAGATTCCTACATAAGGCCATTTACAATCATTTTTAACGGCTAGTCTCTATCACTTTCTGTATTTAAGTTTATTCCGTCCTTCGAGTCTTTATTTTTCGAACAAGAGGAATAATGAGTGCAAGAAATTCATCAGTTTTTACGATCTGAAATACTTAAAATTTACAAAAAGCACCAAATAAATAATATGTAATATTAAAAAGATAATCAATGTGAATGAATGAACGAAAAATTCTTTATTGTACGCCAATGAAAAAAAAAAACAAATATATGGATACAATAAATATAAAAGCACAACTGGCGGCCTTATTACTAAAAAGTAGTTTCTTCCAGGCAACCTTGGGAACTGAAACTTCATTACGATATCATATCTACATATAATTAATAAATATATTAAATACATACACATAATAATAAGTATATAAATACTATACATTCTATAATACATATATTTATTATATAACATACATATAAGCTATTAGATTATAGATAAGAATCAGACAGGATTCAGAGTGAGTGACAGATAATGCTCTTTGACTAGTTCTTCAAAAATATTTTCTGGCAATGAATTCCAAAGATGTGCAGCTTGGACTGTAAATGATTTATCAATAAATTTACTGGCATGCATCAGTATTGACAATTTCAAGTTGTCTAATGACCTCAAAACTAGTGTGTGTAGTACGAAGGAATTTAAAATGTTCCTTGAGATAAGCTGTTGAATAAGGATTAAACAGAATACTGTAAAGAAGAGAAAAAATATGCAATGTGAAGATGAATTTAAACAGAATACTGTAAAGAAGAGAAAAAATATGCAATGTGAAGATGAATTAGAACTTCATTTTCCACTTTGATGGGGCATAAGCTTTGCATAGATGGATTGAAATAGAGGAGCTGTCAGGCTTACAACTGAATGACACATATTAAATAAATTTTTCCTTTTTAAATAATTTAATGTTAAAACATCGAGTGTTGTCTAGACACAAATAAATTGACTACAGGTACTCTAGTACATGTGAAACAGGATGGCTATCTTATTGGAACATCACACATTAGCTGGACTGAATAAACTATAGACATATTGCTACTTGATAAATAAGTTGTTACAGTGAAATTGAAGTAGAAGTAGCTTGGACAGAAATAAAATAAGACAAAAAGAAAATAAAATGACAAGGAATGTAGTTTGAAATATTTTATTAACTAAAGGTCTAGATCTTCATCAGGATCCTCTTCATCCCAATCATCAACAGCATCTGGTTCATAGAAAATTTTACTCTCTCCCTCATTTATTTTACTCATATAAGGAAGTTTGAGCTTGTATTTCTCAAGTTTATCTGTTTGGTCTACTTCTATCTTAAATGTAGTTAATTTTTCTGGTGCTATCCTTTCTGTTTGCACTTCCTCTTTTTCCTCTTTTACTATTGGGATAAGTTTCAGAGTTTTGATTTTAGTATCATAAGTCAACATTTCATAATGCTTTACAACCTTACCATTCTTTTTTAAAATTATATGCAGTTTAGAAGAATCTGTTGTATCGAATGAAACGATTGCACTTGCTATATGATTTAAATTGATCCTTAGTTTTGAGCTTAAGTGTAAACAGTCTGTATGCAATGTTAATACAAGCTTATTTACATTAGAGATAGTTAAAAGCTTTTGGATAATTTTAAAACAATTATTCCAACCACTGTGAACTGACATTTGGTTAACTGAATCAATAAATATTGTAATATTTTCATTAGTGTGCTTCTCCAGAAAATTTGCATTCAGTTCTTCATGATATATTGTATGAGGATGACTTCGGAATACATTTTCCCACAGAGAAATAGACTGTTCGTAACAAAATATATGCAATTTAGATTTTTCTTGAATGAATAATTCTTGAATTAAAGGTATACTATTTGTATTTTCATTGTCTTCGATTAATATTATTGGAGCCGCTTTTAGTTTAAATAAGGTCATGATAATATTTTGATTATAATTTTATCGTCATAAAAAACTACTAAAATAACAACACAGCTCCGATTCCACAGAACAATATCACCACTTACTTTACTTTCATTTCACACCAAAACCATAGACCCACAGACACAGATTATAACATAGAATAATAGTAGGTACTCGACTCGTAACTAGAGTTGTTCGAAACGACTAAAATACATTAACTGCTAAAGTATAATTGCTAAGAAAAAAATTGCGTGTTAATTAATGCGTTAATTTATTAACGCGTTAAATTATCAAAAAAGTAACTACGGTATACAATAATATTACCGTGAAATAGTTTTTATAAATAAAATACTTATGCCATAGTCGGTCCTAGAATTTTTAATTATAATATTTAACAAAAGTTTTGAAAACAGTAACAACTTATAAAATAATTTTAATAAAAAACCCGTTCATTATCTATATACTTACACGACGTGTATCAAATATACTAGGTATTCGTACAAAATGAGATGACTTGTGGCTGAAATGGCGTTTGTGAAAGGTATAATGTGCAAATAAGTTATCCTTTCGAAATTAAGAATTAAGAAAATAACTACGATCAGTTATAAAATCTTATATTCATAATTAACTCATCGTTATAAAAATTCAGCAATCAACAAGGAACGTTCGTCCGAAACAAACAGCAAAGTTATAACTTTAAATTTCAAAATCACAAAGACACGTACAGTTATTATACTATCGCTACCGAACTTGCCTGTCAACGGCGGCGTTGAGCCACGTGTTGTGGTATGTGCCTTTTTGGTTCTTACAATAATATTAGTAATAATAGATTGACTTCCTACTTAACCTATTCTAGAAAGTAATGTTCTTGAAATATATTACTTATCAAAATTCTCTGCGGTGATTTGTATCTGATATTGTAATGGAAAGTGACTCTGATTAAGTTACATTCCAATAAGACTTCTTGTGAAATAAAAGAGGGAGAAAAAAGCAGCCCTTGCTGAGTTTCTTGCCTCTTCTTCTCAGTATAAGATCCCACCTTAGTTTTGCGAACCGTTGGCAAAGTTTTCGACTTTCACAAGTGCTATGTAACAGCCTAGACTGAATTGATTTTGTAATTTATATTAATATTATTCGACGTGTGGATGCATAATGGCACATATGGAAATACTGCACATAAAAAACAAGTTGAATTCTGCGCTCCGCTTTTTGTTTTTCATTCCAAACCTGAATTCGGATAAAAGTTACGAGCAACCAATAAGTTGGCTCGTCACTAATGTTGACATTTAAACCGCTCCTTTACACGTAACATAATGAATAGTTTAAACTTACGAATTAAATAAATTAAAATTAATTTGAAAGTTAGATATTATAAGAAACACGAAACAATGTAATATTTATTAATTTTCGATACGCAATTAATACGCAATTTACTTTTATTACGTCAGAAACAACATTTGAATGACAATTATCCGAACATCGCTAGTGACATCTAGTTTGATTTCAAGAACTAATTTTTATTTTTTGAATACTTCCTTATTATATGGCGTTTTCGTCGTTTATTAAATTCTTTAAAATGTTGCATTTTTCTTTACGTTATTTTACTGAAACTAAACATATTTTTTCTGCAGATTCTAAAAACTTTATAAGCTTATTACCCAACAGGATGACCACAAACGGAACTTATTTTCATAAGTGTCAAATACCCTATTCCCTTAGATACGGATATTTATTTTTCTTAAGTATGCGCTAGATTTCGCTAAACCTCTTTTTTTAAATTTTTTGTATTTTTAGTCTCTCCTATATTGCAACACCTTGGTCGGAATACTTGGTTGGGTTAGGAAACAGTGTGAATGCTAAAATCAGGTTTGTTGTATGGGAGCCCCTTCTATTTCTTTTAGTGTTTTTAATACTTGTTGTTATAGCGGCAACAGAAATATATCATCTGTGAAAATTTCAACTGTATACCTCTAGCTATCACGCACTATTCATGAGATACAGCTTGGTGACGTACAGACGGACTGCGGAGACTTACCAATAGGGCTCCATTTTTACCCTTTAGGTACGGAACTCTAAAAAACCATGAAGTAAGTATAGGGAACCTGTAAAAAATAACAAAACAAAGATCGTTGCTATTTTACTTATTTTATTATCATAATTTATTATTAGATATACATATTTATATAAGTATCTACGTATTTTTACACTTCCTTAAAATATATTCTTTTATGTAAAAATCGGAGAACAGATATAAAATAAATATGTTGTGTGGCAGAAACATGAAAGATATCCACTTGGGGTATTCACACGATGGCTCGAACAGCACGTGACCGAAGTGAATAATCAGAAGCAGGAACTGGAGCTGTAACCATAGACATAATACAATAAACATCAACCCCCCCCCCCACCCGCTGTTTTCATTATAAAAGTTGGACTATCATCATCATATATCATTTAGATAAAATAGTAAATTTTGTGTTAATATTTCATAAAGTCAAAAGATCGTCGTCGAATATTTATGCTAAATAACAATTATTTATCCTTTAGAAATTTGGAGTCTGTGTTTCATGTCAAACAAAACAACAACCAGAGCGCGCGACGTCATTTGTTGATAAAAATTCAATGAGTTTAATAACTAGAGAAGCAATCCCATACAACAGACGCGCCAAAAAGCCTAGCACTTTTCCGAAATCAGGACGTAGCTTTGCAAATAATATTTATACTATATATTATATATAGATTTATTATATTTGTCTCCCTCATATCTACGATTAAACTTTAAATTAAATAAAGACAGAATATGTGCGAACGACAGAATGAACGGATAAATGGGTAATTGATATTGTATTGCCAGCTGTCGAAAATTTCACCCTTTGTGATGAATGAATGAATGAACGAGTAGAGTTTGGCAAGCGAAACGTGACACCACCTATTTTTCCGTTTTCATATGGCAACAACATAGAACTGTCAGTTTGACACTACGTTAGACAATTCAAGAATATTGAATTTTGTTGTTTTTGCGAATTTGAACTTGTGTTTTTGGTTAAAAATTATGTCGAAGCCGATAAAAAGTTCATCGAGGAAACTTCTTTCCATCATGATTGACAAGTTTACTGAAGTGAAAACTGAATTAAATAAAAATTTCATGGAGAAATTACAACGATTAGATAAAGTTGTATCTTTTTTAGGTTAGTTTTGTATTATAATTTTGATACTTTCGTTTTAATTTTCTGTAATTAACTAAACAGATATTTTTTATAAAATATTGCTCTATTTCAGATAACTGTGATGGTGATATTCAACCAATAATGGAGGAGATAAATGCAATAAAAACTTTAGAAAAACAAGAAATGCTGAATTCGGAAACGCAGTACTTACAAAAAATTTCTTCAATGACAGGTCTCTTTTCTTGTTTTGATTTAAGATAGATTGATAGTATTCCTATAATATTTACATAGGTTTTTTATGATGTATTGGTTTTTATTGTTGACATCCAATGATGTCATAAGAATGTTTTGTTTAACAAGGAAATTCACAGAATTCATGAAACTAATCAAACCATGTAATTGTTATACATGCTAAATATGCACATAAACTTAACTAAATTAAACATAAATTGCATTCATAGTTGAATAGGTATTTAAATTATTTTGATGTATGTGTCTATCATTATTTGCTTTTAAATACATTTAACATATCTTTGTTTCAAAGTGTTTAATCTTTTATAGATGTAAGTATAAGGACACTAAGAAGGATAAAAAATGATGCATTAATTAATAAAGGAAAATGGGACACTCCTGGGAAAAAACGACCTCATCAACCAACAGTGTCTGCTTTAGATAATTTTGATTTAAGTGCAATTCGGAATAAAGTAAATGAATTTTACTGTGTGAAAAAAATTGTTCCAACATTAAGAAGCCTTCACAATGAATTAAAAGATGCAATAGGATTCAGTGGTAGCCGTGAGACTTTACGAAAAATTATGCTTAAGAATGGATTTTCTTTTAAAAGCAATGAAAATGAACGTTCTATGCTTATAGAAAAATACCAGATTTCTGCATGGAGGCACAAGTATTTGAGAAAAATAAATATAAAACGAAACGAAGGAAAGCAAATTGTGTACCTTGATGAAACTTATGTACATCAGAATTATAAAGTTAAAAAGTCTTGGCAAGGACCTTCAACAACTGGTGTCACTACAAAGATATCCTCTGGAAAACGGCATATTGTTGTGCATGCTGGATCTGAGGAAGGTTTTGTGCCTGGTGCATTATTAGTGTTCAGTAGTAAATCCAAATCTGCTGATTATCATGATGATATGAACTCATCGAACTTTATGAAATGGGTCAGAGAAAAATTAATACCAAATTTAAGTAAGCCCAGTGTAATTGTTATGGATAATGCCAGCTACCATATAAAACAAATCAATAAACCGCCTATAATGTCTAATACCAAAGCAGATATCCGTAAATGGCTTGTAAATAATGGAATACATTTTGAGGAATATCAGACAAAGGCAGAGTTAATGTGTTTGGTTAATGATAAGAAAACATTGCCTGTATATGAAGCTGAAGAGATTTTAAAAGAACATAATCATGAACTTTTATTGCTGCCACTGTATCATTGTGACTTAAACCCAATAGAGATGGTTTGGAGTCAAGCAAAAAGAAAAATTGCAAGCAGAAACATTGGAATACCAGGAAAGGAAATGGAAAACTTAATAATAGAGTGTTTTAACTTAATTACCCCTAGTGACTGGAAGAAATACACTGATCATGTTTTAAATGTCGAAAATGATTACAAATTAAAAGATGGCATTGTTGAAAACGAACTTGAAAAATTTATTATATCTGTTGGTGCAGACAGTAGTGAAGAGAGTGACTCTGATGATTCCTTGTCATTGTTATCAGGTGTAGAATATTTAGAAACAGATTTTGACTATGAATCAGACTAAAGTATTTTTAGTCTGATTCATAGTCAAAATCTTATCTTAAATTTTCTATTGTGATTAACATGATGATTTTGTGACACCTGTATTATGTAATTTATCCATGGCACTTAATTGTAACAAAAATAAATGTTTTTTTTATTGTAATCTGGTGTTTATATTGACTAATTTAATTTGATAGATAGTGGTTCTGGATCAGAGCAAAAGGTTGTGATGAAAATCCCTTAGGAGACATGTATGTGTTATGAACACATTATAAATATAAGGGCCAGAAATCAAAATTGGCTAACATCACATTTATTAAAAAAATGTGGCCAGAGTCGCCCATATTCATTACAAAAAAACAAAGAAGTCGTTGCAAAAAACACCCTTTTAATTAATGACAAATATGAATTTTTAATATTATAAGTGCTGTTAGCCAATAGGTATAACGAATGGGTTAAAAAAAAGATTCGATTTAGTCCGTCAGTCAGATAATAGAAAAATATTGGATACGTATTTTTTTTCGCTTTAATTTAACAACAAATGGCTTAAGAGGTACTATGCGACGACTTCAAATATGCTTTGCAACAATGTTACTTTAATACAGTTTATCGATACGAAATCAAGTGTCAAAATGGAGTCCAGTGGAGAATGCCGATATTGACATTTCGAAATTGCTCATCATTGATAGAGAATACGAAATAGTGATTTTGACACAATCAAAGTGTCTATTTTTTACGGTGATGACGATTCTTGGTTGTCAGTTGAGTTAGTGAATAGGCCTACTGATATGCTGTTAACTGTACAATTAAGAACAGTCACGCTTTAGTCAAATGTTCCAAAACAAATAATTTTAATTGATATCTAAATGTTAAGATTAAATATAATTAATAAAAGTATCAAAATTATTTTGCAGTACTACATTCAGTGTTTACTGCTTAAGAATTTTTGAAATTGCCGCCCTTTTCTTGTGACACGTTTCGCTTGCCAGACTCTAGTGTAGATATATGAATAAAATCAATTAGTAAAATACTGTAACCTTGAAAATTTCTTTGAAAAAACTTTGAAAAAAAAAAGCAATCACGAAAGTAGGCTCTGTGCATATATATACCTTTGTTTTTCGATAAAGTCAGTGGTTAAAACAAAAACATTTGTCAAAGTTCATAAAACATCAAACAAAGGTTCAATTTTACGTATTTTTCAAAAGTTGTATCTCGACAACTAACGAATTCCACGCATTGAAAAAAATTAAACCACATTAGTATCTGTGTGTATGTATAAAAAAATTATCAACAGAATTAGCGCAGTTGCTCATACTTAAGCTGAGCTATATAATTAATTATAAAAAGATATTTAGATAAATTATAGCCACGTAAAATAAAAAGAAAAGGCTCCCATATACTTGGGAAAATTGAAAGTGAATAGCAGTGGCAACACTGACGACAAAATTTCGAAATTTAATTTGTGAAAATTAAATTTTTTTTTATAACTTAGCTTTAATTTTGTATTTATTGCCAAAAATGTTAATAACTTAAGTGTGAAACTTAATATTCTTTCATATTAAGTTTAAAGTGGCTGTAATTAAAATTAATAAAACGACTTAATTTTGACGGCCGCATCGAATAAACGTGTAAGAGCTGTTATACATTTTTTTTTTGCATAATTCGATGCAAAATCTCCTTCTGCAGCACCTTAATTTTTACCACCTTCGATTTGCCGATAATATTGTAATCATGGCTGAGGCTTTGGAAGTGCTCCTAGAATCTAACTCGGTTAGACAGCGGTCGGAAAATTCCGAAATATCATTTCGAATACCGTATTGTAAATTGTATAGGTTTTTACCCACTGTGTGTTGCCAGTGATGTCTTATGACACTGAGAAGTAGTTACTAACTATGAGCTTCATAAATAAACTCAACGTCACTTAGAGAGTATGGAGAGGGCTATGATTGGAGTCTCTCTGCGAGATCGAATCAGAAATGAGGAGATTCGCGGGCAAACCAAATCAAATTGCAAATCTGGATTGGCAATGGGCCGAGCACATAGCTCATTACAACCATCTGGGTTGTTGGGACAGTAAAGTCCTCAAGAGGCGACCACGGACTAGAAAACGGAGGAGAAAAAGCAGGCCTCCCTTAAAGATGGACTGAAGAAGTAATTGGGATTGCTGGGACCGATCGTCGTGGAGATAGGGAGGGGAGAACTTTTTAGGTGGTGCTATCCGGTTCTTATAACGATGTTGATTCCTTAATTTGTAGACTACGCACTTTGTTTGTTTAGAGATTTAAGAGAGAACAATTTTTGTTATTGTTGAATTGAAAATGCAAATAATGTTGATTATTTTTGTGATCACCTTGAACGTTTTGAAATTATTTATTAGGACTTAGTATCAGTATGGAAATTTTAGTTTTTAGTTTTTTTATGCATTAATATTTTTTCCTTCCATAGACTTCTGACATAGAAAAGATAATTAAGTATTTTAAAAAATATTTACTCTCATTTTTATAACTTATTAGGATTTCTATGATAACATCTATATTAGAAATTAAGATAGAGAAAAATGTATATGTAATTTTCCAAGGCATTTTCTTATTATTTACAAGTACAATAACGATCCCAGAGCAAAACGATATCGTAAAAAGTATTTACATTCTAGATTCAGCTTAGAATAGATCACAGGTAAGTACATATAATGCAAAGATATCATAAGGAAAAAAAGAAAAAAAAATCGCTACCATAAACAAGGTAATGTGGGTTTAACTTTATCCACATTACCTTTAGAATATGAAGGCATCAGCTGTACTAGAATATAAAAATAAAAAGGTATTTCTCAAATTTCTGCTTTTCTTATAATGTTCTCCATATTATCATATCTTTTATTAAAAGCTGTTTTTTTTTTTATCTTTGACATTGAATAATCATATTTTACATATCTCGGAGCCCTTACTCCGAGATATTTTAAAATAATGTTTTTATTTTTTCCTGTAAAGTTGACTTTTTCACTTGCACGTTTTTTCGATGCGGCCGTCGATTTGCCTAAGGCTTCGTTCAACAATCGAAGGTCCGTATATTAAATCATAATGGGTGAGGTACATAATCGTGGTCGAGAAATATCCTTGCGTGCAATAACAACTTTTGTGTTGACGCAAACAAAAAAGTATTTATTATAGGGTCAAAATCCATATATTATGACTTATGTATGACCCAGGGCGACTATATGTTTGTATATTTTTTGTTTAGTGTTTCAACTTTCGTTACATTACCATTATTTGCAGTAGTAAGTAATAATGTATTGCATTTTCACACTAATATGAGACGAATTTCCAAATACGCCACTAGGCATAGGCGTACCAACAACAGAGTGGCAAGGAGGGGAGAATTTTAGCTACTGGCAACAAGCCACAATGAGGAATTATTAAAAAAAAAACATTAGCACCCGAAATCAAACTAAATGTCGCTATGGTACTTTCTTGATTTCTCCATGACAACCCTTCCGGTTTTTTTTCATCTGTATAAGTAAATTAATTTTCAAACCTCAATAAACAACTCATATTCTGTTTGTAGTTTTTCGTATTTGTAATGATATCTAAGTTTCGAACTTTGCAAATTTCAGTTTTTTGAAATGACTACATTTCGGCCATTCATTTCCTGCAAAAATCAATTTTTGCTAGAGTCGCCATCTAATGAGGTACTTTTTTAGTGCTTTCTTTTTTAAATACTTCCTCAATATCGTAAATTATTATTGGAATAAGTTTATCATTACCCCTAAGTAGATGCTAGTTACACCCATGCTACTAGATGTTATGGTCCATTTACACGAGGCAAATTGCTAAGAAAATTCAATAAATCAATCCAATTTGGCCTCGTGTAAATTGAGATAATCCTCCGGTCAGTCCAATGTAATAGAGCAGTTAATAACTTTTACTAGACTTCCTTGACTAAGTTTCTGAATTGTGTTGGTTATTGGCCTCATGTAAATGGACCCTAAGGCGGGGTAAAGTCGCTGAGCTGATAGCATGCTCTCCATTAGTGGAGAACTAAAAGGTAAAGATTATGCTTACAATTTGCAATTGCGTGATGTACTTCTTCCACCACTGCTGAACCCAGTGCGGGCGCACGATAGATATGAGATAGTAAGAGTACATGACTGCGTGCACCATGGAGTTTATACATCCCAACATCACGCCATGTCCACCTGTAAACAAAAAATACTCATATATCATAGGAATGTAATCTTAGGTTAAAGAATTGAACAAGTTTTGTATGTAATTTTGGTATCAATCAATAATTAATAGTACTACTATCAGAGACTTATCTATTTCGCTGTTCCGAGCAACAATATTTGCCGTCTTTTACACTAATGAAAGTCATGAGTTTTATGATATTGAAGGAATTGTTAAGTAAGATTCAATATTTTAGTCTACTGTCATATTGGATAAATTTAAAACATTTTTTAATAAAGTTTATTTACATTTAACTAAAGTATAAAGGTACCATTTTGTTTGAAAACTTTTTGTCATCTTGTACGAATAATATTTGTTTAGTTTAATATTAATGGGTAATTTTAAATAAATTTAACAACCCCGTGTTACGATCTTTAACCCATACAGATGCAGGACTGATCAAAAAGATAACAACAAACTGCCTATTCGTGACTGGGTGTTAAGGTCCGTATTAGGCGTGGGCGTGGAATGAACGAAACGTTTTTAGACCGATTATTGGGTATAAACTGATAAACTAGTTTACGGTCTACTGATAAACTGGTTAATGTGTAAGTTAATGACAAGTATGCGTAAGTACAAGCGTTGCTAGACTAGTCCAACGCTTCACGAGCGATCGGCGAGGCGACTATATGTGTTTTGTTTTTTGCGACCGATAGCGTGCTGCCTGTCTCGCTCGCTCGAATATGTAAAAAAAGAATTAAAACCACTTTTCTGGGATAAATGCACATTTGAACTTTGTAAATAAAATGACAAATCAGTTTCTGATTTTCTTGTGGATAGTGTAGGTCAAAGTTTAATTTTATAAGTAGCGTCCTTTTTTTCAATTTTCTTCAATCGATCGCTACGCTACGCTTTGCAATCGTCTTAAATTACAAGGTATTTTTTAACAGATAATAAAACTAAATGAACGTGATGTGACGCGTTGATGTCTTTTATAGTGACGTATTGAACTCATTTATACTCCATTCTATCAAATTAGCCGTCAGTCTTAAAAGTAACATGATTATTGATATTTTGTCATAAAGTATACCATAAAAAGAAGATTATTTAACTTCTGTCTAATGCTATAATGAATGGAGTATAATTTTTGAGGTGAAGGGCGGCTGGTATATGATCAAGTGTGCGGCGTTGAGCAGGATATATCTACAGTCAAGTGACAGGTGTACATCCACGTCGTTCACCTCGGTAATATTTGGAACCATTAACAAGCACCGCACAACACCATCCATCCTGGGATCCAAGTAGCGAAATCATCTGTCGCTACCCTTCCAGTGCAGTCCAACATGGAAAGGGAATCCTCATACCTATGTATCCCATGATCCTCTCCTGATAAACATTTCCTACTCTGATCCTCCCCTGCTTACAAAATTCCTTAGGCTAACCGACAAAAGCCTCGGTTCTATCGGTGGGTGGGTGGCCAGCCGATAGACTAACTAGCCCCTCCTGCGCTGAGGCCTGCGCAGTTGATCGCCGTAAGAGGGGATGAAGGAGAATCCTGGGGGGTTGAGCGAAGCGAGGTCGGCGGTAGTACCTTAGCAACGCAACACGCCCTCTTTGGTCCGGATTTCAACCGAAACGGTAGCCCCTCTGGGTAGCGCCAGAGGGGAAACGGTCAAGCGTCCTGTCAGAGGGCCGTTGCAAGATGTGGGGGAGGTCTGGTGCAGTTTTCTGTGCTGGATAGTTAAAAACATGCTGACGAGGTGAGGATGAGTGGAACAACTGGTGGACTCTGAACCGGTAACCCAGCCACTCATTTTGAGCTTCCGATGTCGCACCTGAATACTTACTCCCTATATCTATATCCAGTCCGTAGTCCTAGTGTACCTTTTTAATAGGACACTCCCAGATATGCGGGCTCCGTGGAGGGTGGAAAGACTAGATGAATTACACACCATAACAACAACATGGACACCAACAGGTTCAAAACACCGTCACAATCAGACACCAATACACCCTCTCATGAGTTGGTCTTAATGGCGTCCTCAGGAGAGCACAACACGCCTGAAGGGAAACCGGAAGGCTCACAAATAACACCTACACCCCAAGAGGGGACAAGCACACTGCTGGAGCCAGGTTGGACACAAGTGGGCAAAAAGGGTGGAAAGGCGGCAGAGAAAACTCTGTCCACCACTGCCCAGGCTGCTCTACAAGTGTCCAAACGCAAGGGGAAGCAGAAGGCCCGGATGCAAAGGAAGAAGCAGCGCAGGAGGGAATCCCGAATGTCAGCTTCTTCTAGCAATCAAATTACCCCGAACACCGGCACGGTGGAGGGAACGCAAGGGGGAGCGAAAGGTGAGAAATAGGGTAACCTGCCACTGCCCAAGCAAGCCCAAGCGATGCCCACCACCAGTCGGGACAAGGAATCGAGAACGTATGGGGGAGTGATAGGCAACTTGTTGCCTGAGCAAACCCAAGCGGGACTGGAGCCAAGTCACGGGAGGGACCGCCCACTGCCAAAGGGGAAAGGAAGGGGAAGGGAAAGGCAAAGTCCAGCGCCAAGACGGCCCGACTCGACGAGACTGTCTCCGAGGGGAGAGCCCAAAAGGCAAAAGACGGAGCCGTTAACCGGACCCAGCTCTAACTCCATCTCCAAGCGTACCTACACTTCCGCAACATCGGCAACTGTGACCGCCACCACGTCGGAAACTCGGTTCGCTGTGACGTCGACCGAGGGATACATCTCTCGTGAGGCGGCTGAGCTAGTCGAGGAGAAGATTGAGGAGGGGTCATGCAGATTGCCAGTGAAACTGCGTTCTGCGAGTGTTCCAAGGTCGCCATGATGTTTAGTGGGAAACCACTTTACGCTGACGCACATGCGGCAACGCACAAACCCTGGAGTGGGTACGACAGCAGGTACGGAGCGTAGAGAGCCCAGATGGAGGAAATCTTGTTGTCCTTAGGGTGGAAGGGATCCCCAAACGGGTTAGGTGCGGCTTCGTTCTGCCAAAACTCTGGAAAAAAGATCGCATTATGCTAGGCAGATGCCTGGCGATCGGGAATCCAGATCTCAACATCGAGAGATGGTTGCTTAACGGTGTCCACCTGCAGCCAAAATTCGAAGAAACCTTCGTCCTCCTATCGAAACCTGAGGAAGACGTATCCGCGATCCTGGCTAAGGGGCGCAGACTCTGTTTTATGACGGGGTCCGTGTACCTGAAGTTCAGGAACGTGAGTGGGAAGTACGTCGATACTCCTCCGATGAACTACCCCAGTGCGACTTCCTCGGTATCGGAACCAACACAGGCCGCCACTTCTGCGCTGCCACCCACACCGGCACCCACGCCCGATGCCGTCCTACCACACGCCACCGCCACGTTCTCGGCGATTCCAAATGACGCCATCCCCGGCCCTTCGCACGAGGCCTCATTGCCTCTGAATGAGGGATGCCTCCTGGGGTTGAGCGACCTAGAGATTGAGGACGTCAATTGCGAGGACGATGGCGTCCCACTGCAGTAGTGTGAAAGTACTGCAAGCAAACCTCCAACACAGCATCACCGCAACGGCTCAGCTTCGGAGATGGTTGGAGGTAAATACAACAGCGGTCGCACTGATCCAGGAGCTGTGGATCAGGGGTGGTGAGATAAGAGGACTTTCCAGTTTGGGAGGTAAGCTCATTCAAGCCACTGCAAAATGACGTAAGAACCTGTATATACACTACTCTGTACGAGAATAGAACACAGCCTTTAACGAATTTCTGTTCCAGAGATCTCTGCGCCACAAGGCTGACAATGAAACATGATAATTATAACTGCGATATGATCCTAGCGTCTGCTTACATGCACGAAAAGGAGCGAGTCCCACCAGAGGAGGTCGTCTCACTGGTCCGCTTCTGCGTGCAGGAAAATGTGGAACTGATTATTGCAACGGATTCAAACGCTTATCACCTCCTGTGGGAAATGGAGAAAAGCAACATCAGAGGTAACCAACTTGTTTAATTCCTTCAGACCACTAACTTATTGATATGAACAGAGGAAGCGAACCCACCTTTGTGAGCAAGATCGGCAGCTCCATAATTGATCTTACTCTCGCGAAAGAGGCGTCATGCTCCGATAATCGATGGATTCGGTTCGACTTACAGGTACCGATCACTAACCCCATCCCTAAAAGGTACCCCAAAAAAACTAACAAAACCCATTACAATCGTTTGGTGTCAGAGAAACTGTGTATGAGCTGCGAAAACGGTAGAATTGACACCACGGTACAAATAGAACAGCATGTAAATATGGTTTCCGATTGCATCCTTGAATGTAACAAGGGAGCCTGCCCTCTCAAACTTCCGAAATCCAACGGTTCGGGTAAACCTTTGGTGGAGTCCCAAGCTACAGATAATAAGAAGCAAGGTGACGAACACCCGGAGTGAATTAGACCGGGACAACTACAAAGCTATTATAGCTAAGAAAAAAAAACGTATTAGATACTGGAAAACAGCCAACACAGCACAACACAGGCAAATAGGGTAAGGAAAATTTTGGCGAAACAAGGTCCCGGTACATTGAGAACTCTCCGAAGAACTGTCGGCACGATGTCCCAAAGCCACGATGAATCCAATCACATCCTACTATAGACCCATGTCCCAAACTGTCAATCAATCGAACAGGTAGTATGGCATGATGTCACGCCGACACCGACGAAAAGATGCTGGCGCCTTGCCACAGAAATTGTAACGTCTAAAAAGGTGAGATGGGCCATCAGCAGCTTCTCTCCCTTTAAGGCGGCAGGAAGCGACGGCATCTTCCCAGCACTATTACAATGGGGAGGCGAGACCATTGTCACAGCACTCACCTGTATACTACAAGTGTGTCTTGCTCACCGATACACGCCACACCGATGGAGAGAAGTAAAGGTAGTATTTATACCCAAACCGGGAAAAACCGACATACTAACCCCAAATCTTTCCGGCCCATCAGTTTAACATCTTTCCTACTCAAAACTCTGGAAAGACTATGTGACAGATATATACAAAGTGGTGCAC